GGACCTTTCTCCTCTTCGACCAATTGACCGAATCTTTATTTCTACCGCGACTAAGGAAGCCCCGAAGGAAACGTCGTCTCCAGAATCCAGGGACAAAAGAGTGAACAGGAAATGGCAAAGAGATCAAATGCCGGGAGATAACAAGTAGAAAGCTGATTCGATGTACCTACACCATGTGCCTGGCCAGACAGAGACTCCAACGATATTCCCCGGGGAGACATATCCAGGCTCCTCGTCTCGTATTTCCTCGAAACGTGCACGCGAACTTTCCTCCAGTCCTTCGACGCTGATAAATAGCTCGCTGGAAAGGACAAGTTAACGCCAGCCGGCTCCTTTTTCCACGGAATTCCTGCAGCGTGATCTACGCGGCCGGAATTGCGATCGAACACCTTGAAATTCACTAGAACGTTTGATGGAAGTTTCGTGTTCACGCGGAAAATCAGATATTCCACCAGTAAAACGCTATAACGTTTCGTTTCGATCAGATCGACAGAAAGATCAGATTACGTGACGTTTAAACGCCATCGTGGATCGAGATTTCCGTATGGTTTCCCGCCTTGAAACGTCGAAAAGGGGGTGCACGTTTCTTCCAGGTTGACGATGTCGAACGTTTCTTCGTGTCTTCTTTTTCTTTCAGAGAAATAAGACGATTTAACGGCCTCTTTTACTCAAGGCACGATCGTAAAGTCCGTCGTTGACTCGTTTCTATAACGTTACCTAACTGCGCCAAGATGTTTATCAAGACGCGTATTCCGGAATGAACTTACTTCCGCCAAGTTTCCAGCTGCAGCTTTCCGATGGCAAAAGTTTCTCTATACGCCAGTGAACACTGTCAATAGGGTTTCGTGTTTGTAAAAGTCTTTCAGTAAATATTCCCAACGATCCTCGCTATTGATAACGCGATAAACATTAAGCTGTTTCATTCTCTTTCGTTAATTTTTTAACTGGATATAAAAATATTTTTCGTTCGATCTTTTTAACAGGATTAAAACTGTACTGTACAAATGTCTTAAACTACCTGGCAAACGGAAACTAGGAATGGAGAGCACTCATGTTCAGAAATAATAACTGGCACAAAAGATATTGATTAAATAGTTTAGAGTAATTTTTATTTCAAGAGATTCTCTGTTATCTCGACAAGAATAATTCTTCAACAACTTTTCTAATTTTATTATTCTCCATTCCATCTTTCATAAAAATAATTTTCATCGATGAATTTCTTCCTAATAATTTATGTCCTAATTCATTGAAAATGATCTTTATTTTATAACAATTAGGATGTCACTCAGACATGGATCAAATACTATTTCGTCATTTATATCTTAACATTTTCAAATTGTACTTATTTTAACATTTTCAAAAAATTATGCAATAAGGGAAGCCATAAATAGATAATACTATAAAGTTTGTTTCTATACAATAACACGTGAAAACGTTTGCTACAAGAATATTCACTTGTCATTATAAAACCACTAAAACAGATGTGTATGTTATTGTGCAAGTACTTGAACAAAGTGTTGACACGAGGAAATTGGCAAGCAACCAGCAATCTCTTTTAAATATCGTAATATACCAAGACACGGAACAATGGAATAAATAACCTTTACGGGCTTCCGGCGTTAATTTCTCGCGACTCGACTGCAGGTAAAATATTTTTCGGACGTCAAACCAGCCAGCGTAATTACCTAGAAATGAATTTATACGACGCAAGGCGTCGCCGTGCGAAATATAAATGCCCCACCTGGATTAAACGACACGATAAACACTTTATGCTACAAGCTAATTAACGTGAATGTGACTGATTGATCGATTCAATACACCACGGCGAGATGCCGGAAATTCAATGTCCTATGTCACCGCGCGGGATCCAGATCCCACCCCCCTGCGAGATTCCTGCAAATTACATTCAGTCTTGTGTACACGGTACACGAAACATCGTGTACACGGATAGCCAATATACACGCAAATAGACGAGCACACCAGCTCTGCCAATTTCTGACGGTATATGTACCTACTTACGCGTATATCTTTACTCATCGATGAATATATGTGAATGAAAATGTAATTTATATCAATTATTTCATGAAATTGTGACGAGCTTTAGAAGTACGTAGTTTCCATTAAAACACGTAAGAAAGCATCGGTTCATACAAGGTCGAATTCTAAATCAAAGATAATTTCTCAGGAATTGAAATTTTAAGGTGCCAGTGGTCCTGATTGCGGAGTATTTATTTTTCTTGTTCGTTTAGAAGTAATTATTATCATTATTATTTATTATAAACAGAGAAAGAAGCTTTCATTAGTGTAGTAAGATAGAAACTTAATGACGGGCAGTTGAAATATATTACATAAAAATTATGCATAATGTTACTGTATGTAATAGTAATCCTCAATTTTATGGTTATCGATTTCTTCGACTCGTTCTTCGATACTGACTGATAGAGATAACACGAATTCCTTCATATGGCACACATGGCATGCCGCCGGTTAGATTGAAGCACTAGATGCACATTGCAAACTACTCTTGCATAAAGATGCCGACAAATATCGTGGCTAAATGAGCGACAAACCACAGACGGTTAATGAAGACAACGATCGAAGCAAGAATAAAGCTTTCTGATCGCTTTTGTTCCGTCTTCAGCGACGATAGCTCCAGCAAAAAGGGACAATGCCACGATTACAGACTACCGACCCTTCTAGCTAATTCCGGTCGCACGTGGCTTCTAATAAAGATCTTCTATCAATTTTCTACCCCTAATTACGTCCCTGATAACAGTACCCTTTGATGGGTTACCTAAATTCCGACAACAAATTCAAATTTTTCTCATAAAAATCACCATCAGACAAATTACTCTACTGCGATTTCTGATGAATTTTCGGAGAATGAATGTCTTAGGATATGTTTCACACTTGATAAAATTTTAATATTTAACGTAAATTAGAACTTAGAAAAATAATCATGGATTTTATAGTATAAATTTTAACACACCTAGCATCTTTTAGTATTTAAAGTAAATTAATTAAAAGAATTTAGTATTTAATTATGAACTTTAAATATTATATGAATTTTATGGCAAAAATTTTAATACAATAGCATTTTATAGGTTAAATATTTTTTTTGACATGTAAAATATTAATTCACGTACTTTACTTTTTAACTGTCTCCAGTTTTAAAGCACACGCAACAACTGGCTTTTGACTGGGGATGCACTACTCGATCCATTAATTCAACTTGTAACCCTACCGTTGCGTCAGAAACCAAAACTGATTGCTGTTAACGAACAGGCTTTATTTGTTCGACAACTAATTAACTTAATTCATATACACGGCCGCGTTTCATTTCTACGATTTCCCTATTCTTCGTAGCCCGTTACGTTGTGGATAATTGAGTGGAGTGGTTCGTTCGGAAGACAATGATATGCACACACCACACATGGTTTAACCAATGATTAATTCGAAAGGTATAATAGATCGCGTTACGTGAACCAAGCTGCGCATGAAACTGACACGTGCCCATTTTTATTGCCAGTACACTTTTTACGAGTCTGCGTTTTCTATAAGCTTCCGCAGCGTTTCGTCATTTTTTGACTACGGATGTGAAATATTTTGCGAAGTTTATATTTATAGCTAAATATTATCAATTAAATTTGATTTTATTATCGATTGATATTAATCACATTAAAAAAGAACTTATGATACTAATACGATTATTAATAAAAAAATCTTTGTATTTTTCGATTTTTTGATAAATGTAATAATGTATAATGTGGATGTAAAAATTGACCAAAATAATGGTCCACAGACGTGACAGATTAATGAGATTATTATTATAATATTAAATGTGTATAGTCTAACTTTTGAAATGAGATCATTTTTAAACATTTTGATAATTTTATATTGATTCTTTAAGTTTTTTTTTGAGTATCTCCCTAATACGTATAAATAAGAGCGTACATGTATGCAGTCAAAATTTTATTTGAGAAAACGATATCTCACATCTCTCCAAACTAATGAAAATTCGTTTTTCTTCCCTCTTGCTTCGTTAGTTAGATAGATAGTTAGGAAGATAACAGCAATTCATTCAAAAATTGGAATGCATGTGGTGCACGTGGTATATGCTTGTTTCAGTTTCGTTGTAGTTCGCACCTTGTTATTGCGACAACACGTATCGATTCAATTTATCCACGAAATTTACGCGTCCCCGGGAATTGTCCCGAGAAATTCCTGGTTACCTCTTTCGTGTACACGTGTTCATTATTAAATTTTACTGTTAATCAAAATACGCAACTGCGAGTTTTAATTGGAAACAAAGTCGAACGATACACCATCGTTGAATTTAATTAAATTCGCATCGAATCGGCCGGAGCCTGATTATTTTCTGATCGTGACGAACGCGAATCAAAGACAAGCTACATTGTTCTTGCTTTTGTGTCGTAGGAACTATCGTCTTTTGTATCATTAAACTCAAGGAACAACTCCTATAATCTTCGATAACTCGTTTAAGTCGAATAAAAAATTCGTACTTCGATCTAATAATTTTATAAATTTGCACTTCTCATACTTCCACTGACTTCGATTCGAGGAACATGAAATTATTCTCGATGTGAATTTGTTATGTAATTGACTTGAAATATAAAAAAATTGTAAAAGTACAGTAAAAAAGTAAATAATATAAAAATTAAAAAATCAACAGAAATAGATTTATTTACCGTACAGTCCTCATATGAAAAATAAAAAATGTGACTTAACATGCCTCTCTCTTATGATCTTCATATTTAAAGTCATTTTTACTTAATCCATCAATCGGTTATATTTCCTCTAACTAGTTCTAGTTTCAATTTAAAATGGTGGTCGTTGTATAAGTTTAACAATCATATTAATTTGGTGACCGTGGCATGCAATTATGATCCGTGCAATCGACTTAAACGAGCGAACAGAAGGGTAGAGCAGGGCGGGCAGTAACAGCCGTGACTAACTGGCTTGTTCGGAATCGTACTCACCGGCAGCGATTCAGGAGTGTGGTCCAGCACATATATGTTGTTCGTGTATCCATATAACATCGTGTCCAGATCTGAAATCCAAGGAGCGAGTAGAACATTAAATTGGATCCAACCATTGACGACTGCGACTTGCGGAATACTAACGTTATGCATAGTTAGCCAGCTGCGCTACGCCCAATGTTCCAATTACGCCCGAGAGCTACCTAGAAGCTTCTTATCAAACGCGTCGTATCCCATTCCTATTCGATTCGATACAACCGAGGAAATTGAATAGTGCGATCATAAAATTGCCTGGCACGTAGGTATTGTTCCATGATTTTCCTATTTGAACGCCATAGCGATGTATCGAATGGTGATTGCAATACGGTACCGATCCATAGAATCAATGAAAATATTATACAGAGCGTTAAAAAGAAGTGGACGATATTCATAAGGTGCGAGTCAAGGTATTAGAACGAGATATTTGGAAAGTCGTTTGAACCTCGTCTTTCCAAGTTATGAAGAATCTAATTTTATTCTAGAATACATTAGTAGATATGTAGATCAATGAACTTAACTTCTGAATTCACATTATGTATATGTCACCCACTTTTTTAACATCCTATATATATATTTCTTTCTTTCTTTCATCGATATTTCTTTCATCGGTGCAGCAGAAGATAGAAAAAATGTTCGATTGATTTAAAACGCAGGCAAGTTGGCAGGCTGTTAAGTTTGGTCGTTGCATAACGAAGATGAAACTAATTTCACGTTTGGCGCGGCAGTTAGTTATGCAGGGTCTTAACTCCAACATTAATGCGACTTTTTTAAAGACTTTAACGAACTTTCTTGCGGTAGTCGCTTAGGCAGCAGGAACGTTTATTGATGGGAAAATGATTAGGTGTGGACCGTGGATTTTGATAAAACTTCGGCGAGATCGATCGAGCTTGAAATGCCACTTTAAAAAATTAGTCTATAAGTCTGCCGATAAAAGCTGAAAAAATATTTAAGAACATTTATATTTAATTTAATATGTAATATTAATAAGAACAAATATTTAGAATAGCTAATTTATCTATATTCAAGTCATTTGAAATCACTTTATACAATTTTATTTGAAATATTCTCTACTCTCAAACTCCGAGTAGAACTGCGATTCTTTCAACTGTAACTTGAATAAAATAATAATTGTCGAATAATGTAGCTTTATTGCTATTTCTGTGAAGTATTGATTGTCTAATTCGTATTAATATTTAGCACATACCATATTGGATATGACGTGGAGTTTTCCACTAGAATCCATTTGTTTCTCATTGTACCTGAAACTTAATTTCTTAACTTTGAGAGGTCGAATGAGTCTTCAAGAATTCAATTAAGATATGAAGTATAGAATCAAAGACACCATAGACTCTAAAGAAATGAAAGAATAAATATATATCTTAAATCATAGGCAACAGGAAAGAGAAAAATTATTCAGTATCAACTAAACTTGAACGAACACAAACATGAAATCCTGCTACTTTAATTCGCACACACGACTTAAACAAGGCTTAAGAAATTCGTTTAAGACACGAAACGTAAAATCAATGGTACGATAGACATTAAAAAGTACATGTATATATTATAAAGTACATCAAGCAATCTAGAACGCGAAAGCTATTCTGTATCAATACTTGGAGAATATACGATCCTAATGCCTCTTAGGGAATACTTGCAAACACCGATATATCACGTGGAATCCAGAAACGAGGGCGATTTATGCGTTAAAATCTCAGACTGAGCTCAGAGAACGGAACAATTTTTCAGAATTATTACCCAGGCTATGCGGCCGTCTGTCGATGAACGAGAGCCACTTCGGCCTCGATCCCGATTCATTTCCATGCGAAAGATCTTTCGTCCCACTCGTCCCGACCGCGTTATACTCGTCACGCACACGTCGGGATAGATATTCGTTGGAGGAATCAATCGGATTCGAAGGCCACACGGCCATCGTTGGTATATCAGCCGATATTTCGTTCATTGTTCACGCTTAGAAGAGACACGCGGTTTTCATTGTGGCACGCCGGTCATTTGCCACGAGCATCGGGACTTTTCTGAACGAGAAGCTCGTATTTTACAACGTCACGGTTGATGGCTTTTATGGATATTCGATGGATATGAATTCGATTCAAAATCTATCACGTTTAATAAAAATAGTTACAAAATTCGTTGATATCTGGTAGGAGAGACACGGTGCAATACTTGTTAAGTATGGTTTCATATATTAGTTTAATAATACTTCAAAATTGTAGTCTTAATAACGTTATTTAAATGGTATTCCAGTTGTCTGATCAGGTATTGCGTTGTTCTACCTGCGCGGCGAATTATAATGTACAAACTGTCTTGATAAATAACATGATCCTGTTCTGTTTGAACAGCCGCAGTCCTATTTCACTTCCGCTATCATATGTCACATATACCGTAATAAAACTACAATATTTGAGGGCAGTTAATTCATGAATCATTATTAACTTAAATTTCTCCGATCTCTCACGAATATTATCAATTAAGATATAATATGAGAACATTAACAAATATTTACCATCATATAGTACATTTGCTAAATTACATTATAAACCCGAGCTACTATCAATTGGAACAAAAATTGATATACGTATATATGTGATAATAAACATTTACAATTTCTCATTATTTTTACTCGCTAACAAGCAGAAGTTCCATCAATTGTTTATAATTACGACTAATTAACGGAAGAATTAATATGACGTCAATAATAAACATTGACGATCTAATTCCTGCATCGTCATACTCTCTCCCATTTGTCCTCGTTCACAGTATGACGTCAGTAAGATGTGATTAATCAACAATTCACCATCAGAAATTTTCACGCATCGGTGAATCACGATGTTTCTAAATTTCCATTAATCAAATCGCTCAAATAGCGCATGGCACAGCGAGTCGCGTTTCGAGAAAAGGAAAACACAGAGGCCGGGTAATTATTGTTGCTGTTTTCCACGATTAAACGAGCAATTCCTGCGGTACAATTGAAATTTTTCGGTGGCGCGGTTCACGTTACGGAGGACCAGTTTCCGGTTAGCTAATTCCGGCTGTAGCTTTTGACCAAATCTGGGACAATCGAGTCGGAAATAACGAATGAATTTATCCTGGCGACTGTTCTGCGCCAATGGCCGCCGCCGAATGCACGCGTACACACTACGTAACGTTATTACTCATCTCCTCTCTTTTTCTCTTTCTCCGTTTATGGTTTGCGTGTGTAGCATCCGTTTCATCTGCATGACGAACGTTAATTATCGTTCGGATCCTGGCGGTTTTCGTTTTAATTTCGTTCTCGAAACGCTGCAACCACTATCCAAACTCGATATGATACATCACCAAACGAGGTAGTCGAGTGTGGGATTACTGTGAACGAAATTTTCGACAAAGTCGAGATAGAGATCAGAGGATCGAACGCGTAACTGATAAGAAATTTTGAAGAAAATTGGAGTTCATTTTGAAGATTGTATGATTATCATTGACTGTGAGAGAGTTTGGTTTCTTTGAACTTTGTAATGAAGATTTCAAATAAGACCTTAAACAAAATTATGGTCTCTGATTCATGTGTGGTTTATAAAGAAGATGGAAGAAGACTGACACTTTATTTTGTAAATTTAATGATAGCCATTGGCAATGAAAAAGAAATTTGGAAGTTACTTCGAATTTTGCAAACTTTAAACAAAATTTGAATATGTGATCATTAAGGAACTTGAAATAAGATTGAGCGTCGATTTTGCAGATAAAATAATAATCATTGGCAATGAATAACATAGTCACTGGTCCTGAGAAAATTAAAGCGAAAATGATAGCGAAAATGTGCAAAGCTGGTGAAGTTTGAAACGGGCGAAAATGATCATTGAACTGCAAGAGATAGAAAATTCGAAGAGTAATTTAATATAAATGTGGAGGAATCCAGTGCAAATCATGTGTGATCATCGTATAAAGAATGTTTCTTTCACTGATCCGACTTAATGAAGAAGATAGCGACAGAAAATATTTTTCAATGATGCGTGATGATACACTGAGTAGTTTCTTTTGACAGAAAGCGTACCGTTCGACTAAAAGGATTTGTGGACCCAGAAAACCAACGATGATAGATGTAACATTCGAGTTCAGTCACCGAACGAGCTAGTACGGTATGCGAATGCATCGCAGGAACTTGTACCGATGCTGAGCCAAGCTTGATATATCTTCCCGTATTAGAGGACGAATATATTCGGGCAAAGTCTTTCCTCTATTCAGCTGTACGTGTTAGACGTTATTTTATCTAACGCAAACATATATTCCCTGCTAAGAAATCGGCTTTAAACGATATAATACAGCCAATACAAATCCTCTTTTATATTTTCCGTTCGATAACCGAGGCTTTATTTCACGTTATATCTTCCATTTTGATTCGGAATTTTACGGAGATAAAAATATAAGATGTTTTACTACTATTGGTAAAAAAGCTACCTTTAGTCATTAATTCGCGAAATATTATTGAATCTTTTGATTAAAATAAAAGGAATATGATTGGAAGAGATAATCTTTCTGTGTAGAAATGTAAGAGATAATCGTCAATATAAATGGATGTTATAGGTTAGACATGGCTACTTGTTTACTTATTGTTATATTTTCATTGCACCGATATTTTTTAATAATAATTGAAATTTATTTCGGGTAATAAACCTATGCTACCATGAATGCGAAAGCTTACGTTAAATATAAATTAAGGATACACATTAAATCTTTGGATGAAATCCAGAGAAACATCCAGAATTTCAGAAGCAAATCTTCAGTAGAAAAGAATATCATTAGTCAGACGTTATTCTACGTATTTATTCAGCATTGTATTTTCGTTATTATAGTTTTTTAATAGCATTTTAAGCAGAAAACATACTGATATCTTTCGTCTCGTAAAGACGCAAACATGTCGCGTTGAGATAGTCATAAAAAATTTCAACGCATACCGATGTGTCACGATTTTTCTTCTCACGTGCTCCACGTATTATTTCTTAGTTTTCCTTTTTATTTGTCTTACCTTCTCCGTGAACAT